GTGGGGGGGAGTTGGATGGGGATTGGGGGTTTTGGGTTCTTTGGGGGGGAGTTAAAAGGAGCATTGGGGGCTCAAAGGGATCTGTGGGGGGCAGGGATTAAAGGAAAAAGGGGAGTTGGGGGACATTTGGGGGGGGCTAATGGGACCTGGGGGGAGGAGAGGAGGGGCAGCACCACGAGCAGGTGGGTCCTGAGACCCTCCTGGTGTCCCCAGTTCCCCCTATTGACACCCCAAGACCCCCCTGGTGTCTTCAATGTCCCCAGGCCCTCCCCATGGCCATAATTCCCCCCCGGTACCCCCAAGTGCTGGTCTGTCTCCCCAATCCCCAAAGCCCCTTCCCAGGACCCTCCTGGACCCCAAAGCCCCCCAAGCCCCCCCCTGACCCCTGACTTGGTCCTGCTGTCCCTTGAGCATCTGCAGCTCCTGCAGAACCAGGCATTTCATCAGCAAATTTACAGCTGACACCAAGCTGAGGGTGTGTTGATGTGTTGGAAGGCAGGAGGGCTCTGCAGAGGGACCTGGCCAAGCTGGATCCATGGGCTGATTGCAAGGGGCTGAGGTTCAAGCAGGCCAAGGGCCGGGTCCTGCCTTTGGCCACAAGAAGCCCCGTCAGCCCCCCGGGCTGGGGCCAGAGTGGCTGGAGAGCAGCCAGGCAGGAAGGGAGCTGGGAGTGTGGATGGACAGGAAGCTGAAGAGGAGGCAGAGTGTGGCCAGGTGGCCAAGAGGGCCAGTGGATGGTGACCTGGCTGAGGAAGAGTGTGGCAGCAGGAGCCTGCAAGGAGGAGCAGAGACAGCCCTGGCAGTGTGGGGGGCCAGGTTGTCCCTGTGCCTTCCCCTGCAGGCCCTGGCTGTCCCTGCTGGGCCCCTGTCCATCCCCATCAGGTCCCTGCCCGTCCCCCCCGGGCTGAGCTCCCCCCAGGAAGTGCCGTGGAGCTGAAGCTGCTGCCATCCCCCCCTGCAGCCGCTGGCCCAGGCAAGGGAGCAGCAAAGGCAGGGCCAGGAGCAGAGGCAGCAGCAGGGGAGCCCTGGGGGGGCCGGGAAGCTCTTGTGTGGGGCAGGAAAGAGGCGCTGGGCACGAGGCCGGGGCTGTGCTGAGCAGGCCCAGCCCTCACATCCCCCCAGCCAACGCCGGCTGCCCGGGGGGCTTGGGAGGGACCCCCAGCCCGTGTGCCCCACACTCAGCTGGCAGGGAGAGAACCAAGGGACAGGGCCATGGGCAGGGCCACGGGTGAGGGACAGGCAGGGCCATTGCAGGGCCACGGTGAGGGCACAGCCTGTGGCAGCAGAGCTGCCCAGGGCCGGGGGCAGCCGGGGGTGTTGGTAGCAGCCAGTGCTGGGGCCGAGCACGAGGCACGAGGCCTCTTGCAGAGCCCTGGAGCAGCCTCCCACTTGCCAGCCCCACCCTGGTGGGGTGACACTGTCCCTTCCCTACAGTACAGTCCCCCAGAAATCTTCAGGGAGGGCCTTTTGTGTCTATTTGTGGTTGCTGATTGATGCTGGGGACCTGAGGGACCATCTGCAATCCCATCCATGGGGCAAAATCTGCTCCCCAGAGCTTGACTCACTGCAGACTTTGCAGGGAAATCTGTGCTGGCAGCTGCATCCTGAGCCCAAGGGCAGTTTGTATCCCTGAGTGCTGATCCAGCCTGGGGACCCAAGGGATCCTCTGCCATTCCATCCATGCAGCAGGAGTCACCCTGCTGCCCTTCACTCCTTGCCGAGGAACAAGTGCCATCTCTCTCTGTTTGGGAGAAGCCAGATGCTGCCCCTGGGCCATCAGAAGTGGTGCTGAAGCCTCTTTCAGCCCAGCCCCGGGTGCAGTTTTCTCATCCCCTCAGCGAGTGCCCGCTCCCCCAGTCGGCACTGACCAACCAGGGCGTTTGGCACACGTGGTTTGGTGGTTTGGAGAAAAGCCTCAGACTGACAGGGAGCCAGAGAACCACGAGTAACAGCCCTGGTGAGGTGCCTGCACTGGCAGGGGGCCAGGGGATTGCTGCTCCACAGAACCGGCTGGAGCTCTGGGTGAGCCTGAGCTGAAGGGCCTGTGACCTGTGGATGAGTCCAGGATGGAGCAGAGACCCCCCTGCAGCCTGGGAGGAGCCCACACCGGAGCAGGGGATGCCCAAAGGAGGTTGAGAGCCCGTGGGAAGCACCTGCAGAGCCGAGGGAACAAAGCCCTGGTTTCCAGGGCTGCCCCCCCACCCCAGTTTGTTGGGTTTAAGTGCAAACTGCAGCAGGGCCGTCCCTTGGCAGCAGCCGGTGCCGTGACACAGGCTCGGAGATGTGCCAGCCCAGGAGGGACTGAGGGCAGGGGGTTTGTAGGGACCATCCAGGGCCCCTCGCTGCCCACTGACGGTGAAAAGGAGACAATGCCAGGAGGAAGGAACAGGCTGGCCCAGAGGCACAGGAGGGAAGTCAGGCTCACTGAGCCATAACTGGGGGAAAGGAATTGCAGCAGGGGGAGATCGGCACCACCGACTCCTTGAGCTCCTCTTCAGAAGGGCCCCCAGACTGCGATGGAGGGAAGAACTGCAGCTGTGACTGATGGGCACAGGGAGGAGAGAGACAGCCAGCAAAGGGGGCTGGGAGCGGGAAGGAATAAGCTGAGAAGGTGACGGGATAAAGAACTTGTGTCAAGGTTTCTTAGTTGGAGCAATTTTGTGGCACTTCTCGGCTCGGCGGGGCCGGGGAGGCGGCAGTGGGACACCCTAACCCACTACCCCCCAAGGACCCCCAAAAACATTCAGAGCCCACCCAGGACCCCACCTAACCATTTTTCTGGGGGGACTCCTCTGGGCACTGGTGGTGCTGGGAGCCCCCCCGGCTGCGGGTGAGGAGCTCTCGGGTAAGTGGGGGGTGGGAAGGGAGAGGTCGGTGAGAAAAAGGGGGTCAGAGGGGACAAAACTGGTGGCGGGACCCCAAACTGAGTGGGAGGGAAGTGGGACCCCCTAAAAGTGGAGGGGGGAGGGGCTCTGAGGTTTGGGGGATAATGGGATATGGGTGGGAGAGGTCAGAAGAGTTGGGGAAGGGGAGGGTGGGAGCCCCAAACTGAGCATGAAGGGGCTGGGGATTGGGGGGATGATGTGGAAGGGATGGGGGAGGGGGAAAAAAAGTGGGGGTTGGGACCCCAGAAGTGATCCTGAGGGGGCTGGGGATTGAGGAGACCATGGGAAAGTGGAAGGAACAGGGAAATGGGGGGGTGGTCTGGTGGGTCCGACGGTCCGATGGGGGTCTTTGGGCACAGGGGGGTTGGCAAAGGGAGGTGACCCCCTGAGCTCCCAACTTCCTGTGGGGTGTTGGGGGCTGCTGGATCCAATGTTCTCAGGGCACAGACATTTCTTTGGGCCAAAGAGTCCTAAAACACTTGGCACAGACCACACTTTACCACCATCTGTTCTCCAACTACTCTGCTGCTTCAGAGCAGCACAGTGGGGACCCCTGGGATCCCTGGGACAACAAAGTGGAAACCCTGGAGAGGGGGAATGTCTGGGATTGCGGCACCCGGAAGGCGAGAGTCAAAGGGGAAGGGACCCTTGGGACCCCCAACACTCCCAGCATCCCTAAGTGGGACCCCCAGCATCCTGAACAGGGGAGACCCCCCAAACTCTAGAGGGCAGAGACCAGAGAGGGGGAACTTCTGAGAGAGATTTTTTGGGCTAAACTTCATATTTGGGAGTATTTTTTGGTTGAATCTTAACTTTTTACAGTTTGGGAGGGGATTCATCTCACTCTTTCTGAGTGGTTGTTTCCTGAATCTCAGTGGTTTGGGTTTTTCTGGGCTGAATCTTGGTGTTCTGGAGGTTTTTATGGTCACAGGATGCCCAGTGAGTTCTAGAGATGGACTTGGGCAGGAGGAACCCCCAAGCCAACACGCTCAGCCCTTGTTTTCTCCCCCATCAGGATTTGTCCTTCCCAGAGCTTGGGCGGATGGAGGAGGAGGCTGTGAGGAAGAGGAAGATGCCTTGGGCCCCCCAGGCAGGTGAGGAGGAAGTCAGTGTCCCTTTGGGCGGGTGTTGTGCTGGCTCTGGCAGCCCAGCATGGCCCCCGGCTGCAGGACAACCCCGCTGCCGCCGCCGTCCTGCCGGGGCCGGAGTTGGGGGGATGTCCTTGGCCTTCCCTGTGGGCCGGAGGCAAATCCCCTCCCTGTCCTTCTTGCTTCCTGCCCCAGGCCCCGAGCTGAGGATGGAGAGCCCGGAGGACAAATCCGCCCGTGAGACCCTGGTGGGAGAGGCCGTTTTGAAGAGTTCCACGGTGCGGGAAGGCAGTGGGGAGGAAAAGGGCCAGAGATCCCCCCGCAGGAGGGGCTCCAAATCCAGCCCAGGGTGCTCTGAGGAGGAAAGACCGAGCCTGTGCCGGGTAGGCGGCCAGAGCTTGAGGCAGAGCTCTGAGCTGGTGGTCCCTGAGCAGCCTCCCAGCAGGCAGAAGCCCTTCAGGTGCTTGGAATGTGGGAAGAGCTTCAGGAAGAGCAGCCACCTCCTCAGCCACCAGCACATCCACACTGGGGAACGTCCCTACACGTGTAGGGAATGTGGGAAGAGCTTCAGGAGCAACTCCAACCTGATGCGACACCGGATGATCCACACTGGGGAACGGCCCTATTCGTGTGGGGAATGCGGAAAGAACTTCAGCCAGAGCTCCAACCTCATCCGTCACCAGCAAATCCACACTGGGAAACGGCCTGGGAAAGGGGTGGGAGAAGGGGGCTCAGGGGAGGGGGGAGAGCGGGAGCGGGGTTACTTTGGGGGTCCCTTCATGTCCCCATGCCTTGATCCCTGGAGAGTGGGGGAGGCTGGAGAGAGGGGGGAGCTCGGGCCCCCTGTGCTGAGCCAGCAGTCGGGGCCGTGCTGTTGGTGCCAAATTGCCCCTGGTCAGGCTGAACCCAGAGCCCCCCCACGTGTCAGGGGGTCTGATCCGCTCCCTGCTCTGGTTGCCCTGGGGCAGCCTCTGGTTTCGCCCTGCCTGTGGAGCTGTTTGGGTGCCTTGGTCACAGCCGGCCCTTGTGCAGGGGTTTTTTTCCTGTATCACAGAAGTTTTAGTTTTTCTGGGCTGAATCTTGGTGTTTTGGAGGTTTTTATGGACACAGGATGCCCGGTGAGTTCTAGAGATGGACTTGGGCAGGAGGAACCCCCAAGCCAACACACTCAGCCCTTGTTTTTCCCCCATCAGGATTTGTCCTTCCCAAAGCTTGGTCAGATGGAGGAGGAGGCTGCGAGGAAGAGGAAGATGCCTTGGGCCCCCCAGGCAGGTGAGGAGGAAGTCAGTGTCCCTTTGGGCGGGTGTTGTGCTGGCTCTGGCAGCCCAGCATGGCCCCCGGCTGCAGGACAACCCCGCTGCCGCCGCCGTCCTGCCGGGCCGGAGTTGGGGGGATGTCCTTGGCCTTCCCTGTGGACCGGAGGCAAATCCCCTCCCTGTCCTTCTCGCTTCCTGCCCCAGGCCCCGAGCTGAGGACGGAGAGCCCGGAGGACAAATCCCCCCGTGAGACCCTGGTGGGAGAGGCCGTTTTGAAGGGCTCCACGGCGCAGGAAGGCAGCGGGGAGGAAAAGGGCCGGAGATCCCCCCACAGGAGGGGCTCCAAAGCCAGCCCAGGGTGCTCTGAGGAGGAAAGACCCAGCCTGTGCCAGGAAGGCGGCCGGAGCTTGAGGCGGAGCTCCAAGCTGGTGGTCCCTGAGCAGCCTCCCGGCAAGGAGAAGCTCTTCAGGTGCTTGGAATGTGGGAAGAGCTTCAGGAGCATCTCCCACCTGATCCGACACCAGCACACCCACACTGGGGCACGTCCCTACATGTGTGGGGAATGTGGGAAGAGCTTCAGCCAGAGCTATCAGCTCTCCACCCACCAGCAGACCCACAGTGGGGAGCGACCCTACACATGTGGGGAATGTGGGAAGAGCTTCAGCCAGAGCTATCACCTCCGCATCCACCAGCACATCCACACTGGGGAATGTCCCTACACATGTAGGGAATGTGGGAAGAGCTTCATCACGAGCTCCAACCTCCGCACCCACCATCGCATCCACGCTGGGGAACGGCCCTACAAGTGCTTGGAATGTGGGAAGAGGTTTCAGACCAGGTCACATCTCCTCAGGCATGAGCGGACACACACGGATGAGAGGCCCTTCCGCTGCACCGACTGCGGGAAGGGCTTCAAGGAGAACTCCGCCCTCATCATCCACCGGCGCATCCACACCGGGGAGAGGCCCTACAAGTGTGGGGAGTGTGGGAAGAGCTTCACCCAGAGCGGTGCCTTGACCAGACACCAACAGGCCCACCAGTAAGGGAAAGCCCTACCAGTGCCCCAACTGCAGGAAGAGCCTCGGCTGCTGCTTCCACCCCGAATGAAGCCCCTGATGGTGAGGCAACCCCTGGAGTCCAGTGACTGTCAGTCCATCCCTTTCGACCAGAAAGGGCCAGTCCCCTTTCCCAGGGGCAGCTTCTTCCAATAGAACCCTTCTTGGGGGGTGTGTGGAGATTCCTGCCTTGGCTGGGGACCCCCCAAGGTCACTGCTGGAGGTTGAGAGCAGAGATCTCCCCACGAGTGTTGGTCTGGGGGAGTTCCATCCATCTCTACTTAAGAATTCTTGCTTTTGTGCCAGCTTGAGTAGAATTGCATCAAGAATTGCTTTAGTGTAGAGCACTGTCCTATCTTATCCTGTACTCCTGGTAGTTTTAGTGTTTCTCTTGTGCAGTAAATAATTCTGATAAAGATCTTTTGTCTGATCATTTGTAACCCTAAATAAATTCATTTCTATCAGTAGATCTGATTTGCCATCATTAAAACTTAGGGGACAAAAGTGCTTCAGTCACATCTCTGTAGTTCCTCTAAACTGAATGTGTTGGCATAAACCGATGTCTTTAGACCCTTTTAGTTTTTTTTTTATTTTTCTAATTTTTATAAGTTTTATATGTAATTATAGTAGAAGTAGATTTTAGAAGTAGCTATATTATATTCCTCACCCTTTAGCACAAGTAGTTTACACATTCCATTCAACCCTCTTACCCCATTCCATGCTTCCCATATCAATTCTACCCCTGAATTCAGTAGAAATGTTTAGTCTCTTGTCAAGGCAGGCCTGGTAGTTGAGAGGTTACAGTAACACCTTTGTAATCCTAAGGTAACGAGTTTGAATCCTAGTGTGTATTTTGTTTGTGTTTTGCAATCGTGGGTTGTGTGGATTCAAAGTTTAAGATTCCTAAGGAATCTCCCCCTGAGTTTGGTTTTGAAACACTGGAAAACTTTGACTGGTTCTGAGACAACTTTAAAACAGGAAGAACTTTGTAGGCTGTCTGTGGATGCTTGGCCTCTGTTTGGACAAATGAGAGGGGTGACTTGGCTGGAATTTGGTTCTTTTGAACTAGACACAGTGTTGCAATTAATTTTGCTTTTCAATGTAGAACAGAAATGGGAAGAAATCCAGTGTGCAGAATTGTTTATGTTTCTATTAACATGCCCTGGATTGGGAGGGGGAGATAAGAAAAACGAAGGCTCAAAAGAGACAGAAAAATCAGAAATGGCTTTTTAAAAAGGGAAGAAGAAAGATTGAGTTAAGGCTGCTCCTGTCCCACAAATTTTATTTAAAGTTCTATTTAAGTTCCTTTCTCACTGGTTGAGTTACAGCAATGGAAGGATTCTGTAGGGGCATATAGAGATAACCCAGAGAGAGCAGCAAACTATGTCCAGAGAGCAATCAAAACTCAGAACCCTGACTGGTATGACCTGGAAGTTATGATGGACACTTTATTAGATCAAACAGAGAAGGAGATGGTAAAAAGAGCTGCTCAAACTGCAACTGAGATGCTAAAAACCTCTGGGCAGTTTCCAGGGGAAGATATTAAGGACATCTTCCCCCCCTGACGATCCCAAATGGGATCCCAATGTACCAGCAAATCTGGAAGCATTGAAACGTTTTCAAGACTGGGTAATTTATGGATTCTGGCACGGGGTTCCGAAGGCGTTAAACTGGTCCAAAATGTGTGAGGTTGGACAAGACACAAATGAATCACCCACAGATTTTCTGAACGGGTTGAAGGATGTCATCAGGAAATATACTGACACTGACAGAGAGTCAGATTTGGGAAAGAAAAACCTGGTGTACTTATTTGTAGGGACAGTCCACAGATGACATAAGGAAAAAAATTAGAAGCTGAAATTAAATTCAGCAAGGGGGGGGAAAAAAGTTGTAATTCCAGATATTAAATATATCGAGTCAGCTGCTTTCTTTATACAGGAAAGTCATGGAGAGATCCCTGCAGAAGTTGAAAATGCTGTCATACCTTTAGTCTGGGCCAGCGAGTACCCTGGGAAGTCAAAACAAGCTGAACCAGTAAGCATCACACTCAGGCCAGGAGCAGTCCCGGTAAGGCAAAACCAATATCCTTTGAAACTAGAAAGCCGAAAAGGCTTAGCACCTATAATTGAAAGGTTTCTTAAATTTGGTTTACTGGTTGAGCGTGAATCCAGATTTAATACCCCCATCCTACCGGTGAAAAAGACTGATGGCAAAAGCTATCGACTGGTCCAAGATCTTAGGGCCATCAATAAAATAACTGAGGACATCTACCCTATACACTGTTAACCACATTGACAGAGGATTTAGGATGGTTCACTGTCCTTGATCTTAAAGATGCCTTTTTCTGCATTCCTGTACACAAAGACAGCCAAGAGATTTTTGCCTTTTGAGTGGGAAAATCCTGAGACAGGGAGGAAAACACAACTAACCTGGAGAGTCCTTCCATAAGGCTTTAAGAACAGTCCAACAATTTGGCCCTGAAAACGGCCAAAGAGGGAGTTGTAACGTGGACAGAGGAGACCAGAGATGTGTTTAAACAACTGAAACAGTCCTTGATGTCAGCTCCAGCACTAGGATTACCAGATTTAACTAAACCTTAACACACGAGCAGTTGAATGTTGCTCTGAGGGTATTATCACAAATATGCATATTATCAAAATATGCATTTAGTGTTGTACGTGCCCACGGAGCCATCTGGGAAGAGAGGGGACTACTGACAGCCCAAGGCAGTGGAGTCAAGCATTGTGGTGGTTTGAAAAACCTTTTCTTTGGGGTAGCAATGGTTTGCCCCACTGATAATACTGGACCAATCAAAGGTTCACATGCGCCCTACGGAAATTACATACCCACAGAAACAGAAGAGAAGGGGGTGAAGTAGTTTAGAGGTTAGGTAGCCATGATTTGAGCCAGAAGGAAGCAGGGGGCCAGTGAGCCCCTCTGAGGGCCCCCAGCCCCCAGTTGATGCTACGGGAGACCCAGTATAGTGTCAAAGCTGGACCGGGTCCCGTAATCAGGAGCTGGAAGAGTTTCCTTACTGTCAGCAGCAGCAGAAGACATTGAAAAGCGGCAGTGGAGCAGCCCTGAACAGAGACAGCGATGGCTGAAAGCCAAAAAGATAGCCAGGAGCAGCAAGATAACGTGAAGCCGGCTGAAAGACGCAGAGATGTTCCTGCAGGAGGGAGAGCTGACAACAAAACAGAGGAAAACTCAACAGAGTTGTTTTGGGGTAAGACTGTATTACTTCCCAAAACCCAGAGATTTCCTGAAGAGGAGGGGTGGACTTCCAAACCCTTAGGGAGTCCCAAAATGCAGCAGCAGCTAGAGAGAGGGAGAAAAGAGCTGAAAAACCCGGAGTTGTCCTGAGAGCTGAGCCAGGACGGAATGTGGGGCAGGTGCCCGTGCCCTCTGCTGCTGCTGCTGCTGCTTCTATCATGCTGGTGAGCTGAGACAGAGCAAAAGAGCTTTGGTAAGACTGAACTGAAAGCTGCCTTCAATGTTCTAGCCCAAGAGGAGTGCAGATGTACAAGGAAATCCCTCGAAGGCTCGGGCTCGGGGTTGAAATTTCCATAAAGTAAGAACCAAAATCTTGACTGCCTACTTAAATCTGCTGCCTTGGAAAAAATGGAGGACACTAACCAGTGCCATAAGAAAACTGAACCAAAGGAACTGTGGCCTGTGCAGTGACAGAAAGACTTTTCTCTTTCCTTCTTGGACTTTTATTGAAGGAAAAGTGGAATTTAATTCAATTAAAATATATATATAGGTGTGTGTAAATAAACCTTTGTAAATACTTCTTCCCTTCCCCCAATAATGAATGGTTGTGTTTAGTCTGCAAACTCTCCAAATGAAGTGAAAAAGATATCAAGTCCATACCATCACTAAACCCTCTCACAGGGGCAAATTGTAGGAGGGGGGCTTGAACTTAAAAATTGGATCCTTTGGGAGTTTCAAACCACCACACAGAGCCCCTTTGCTCTGTCACAGCTGCCAGCCTGGCAGCAGCAGCAGGGGGGCAAGGCCCTCCTCCGCATTCCCTCCAGCCGTCCCGCTCCAGCTTCCAGGACGGCTGAGCTTCTTAGCTCCTCTCTCTCTCTCTGCTGCAGGCTGCATTTTAGGACTTCCATCAAGTAGGAGTCCACCGCCTCCTCCTAGGAGGGCTCTCAGAGGGGTTTTGGGGACTTTGATTCACTTCTTACCCCCAAAACTGTCTCTGCAGAGCTTAGTTCTCTCTCTCTCTCTCTCCATTAGACATCTCTGTGTCTTCCTGCTTGGCTGCAGGCCGTCTTTGCTGCTTCTTATCTCTTGGCTTTCAGCCAGAGCCTCTGCTCAGTGCTGTCTCTGCTGCCGCCTTTCCGTCTTCAGCTGCCCACTCCCAGTGGAGAAGAACTCCCAGTTTTTCAGTCCCAGACCTGGGTCCAGTTGAACACTGTTTCTGAGTTTCTAGGACCCCAGCCGGGGGGCTGAGGGGGCGTGGTCCCCAGCGGGGCTCCTGCCCCTTCTCCCCTCGTGCTCTCAGAACATGGCCACTTCTTCTCCAACTCCCTCATCCCCCTTCTTTTCCTGTCTGGTGTGATAGGTTTGAATTTTGCAGGGGCGCTGATTGGGTCAACATCAGGGGAGACACCACCCCCTCGGGGGTTCCCATTTTTTGAACTCCCGGGGGAAAAAACACCTTTTTTCCCCACCACAGCCCCGGAAACCAAAGAACCAAGCCCCCACCATGAGACAGTTCAACCCCATCCGTGTGCCAAAGGCTCCTTTGGGATGTCACAGCCTATCCTCTCCATTCCGGAATAGCCCCTGGTGACCAAAGAACCAACACCTCACACCCCACAGTGCAGCCCCACCCGTGTTCCATGGGCGCCTTTGTGATGTCACGGCCTATCCTCTCCATTCTGGAATAGCCCCTGGCAACCAAAGAACCAACACCCCACAGCAGCACAGTGCAGACCAACCCATGTGCTTTGGGCCCTTTTGTGATGTCACGG